CATAAATAATGCAGAATTAATGACTAATTTTAATCAAATTTCTAAAAAATTTCCCTATCAAATTTCTATCATTTCTTATATTTTCAAGAAAAAAAATTTTTTACAAATAATGATTAAATTCATAATTTAATATAAACTTCGTTACAAAATTGATAACTTTGATAGATAATAAATAACAAGATATTGATGGAAAATAAAGAAAAATAATGAAAAAATGCTAATTACATCGGATAACGTATGATTATACAATGTATTTACAAGTTGATACGTATATGGTTTCGAGACAGGTCAAGCCATCATAGATTCCATAAATTCTCTTAATTCCCTTAACGAGGAACAATTTGCCACTAAAAGTAAGTTTAGTGATAGAAAGACCTAACAATACTTCTTAAAGTGAATCTCTGGAGACTCTGTGAAGAAGTAATAATCTAATAATAATCGATATAGCCAATCAAATCAGAAGTGCCCTATTAAGATAAAATATTCAAATAAATAAAATAAAATGGGTAAATTTAAAAATGATAAAGTGATAAACTTTTTTATCAAAGAATGAAATGGAAATAAGACGAGTCGTTACAATTTGCTCAAAAATAGTTTGATATTTAGTAAAAATTAATAATGAATCTAAAAAATTATAGCTAAAAAGGAGGAAAGGAATTTAGCCTTTAACCTTATCCTAAGGATGAATCTTACATTTCTCTAAATTCCCTTATTTTGATAAATCCAGTGATGCTTAACGACCAATTTTATATTCAATTTCACGTCATTTTACTATCACTACTATTAATAATAATATTATTATTATGTTATTTTTATTATCCCGGGTGATGCTGGCGAGCCATCTGTATTTCTATCGCCAAGGGACTCCCTGACATATTGCCCAATGCGATAAGCCAGTGGAGCGAGTTTAGCCAGTAATGGTGAGGACTCTTTTAAAAAACCGTATTATCACCCTTATTATTTCAGGTTAACCATTTTTTAAATCGATTTCTCACATGTATGAAAGAAATTATTGATAAATGTCGCTTTCTAATGAATCTTAAAGCTGAATAAATTTAGAGAATTGAAATAAAATAAAATTAGATTTGTTATTTGCTTAATAAAAAAATCCAAAATTAGTAACTCTTTACAATAGTAAAAAAATAATGGCGAAAATCGTAAAAGTATAAGTAAAAATTAAAAGCACTATTAGGGTTTACTCCACTAAAATAACTAATAATAAACTATTTGAACAATCCAAATATACGAATTAATAGAACAAATCCATTTATTACATACCGAAGACTACGATTTAAGAGAAAATGTAATAAAATAATTTTTAGTTACTTTGGTCATTAACATTAATATAATAATAATAACAATAATAATAATAATAATAGTAATAATAATAATAATAATAATAATAATAATGAATGGATGAATGCAATGATCAACGAATGAATGAAATTATTGGAGAAACAAATGAAACAAATGAACAAGAAAAACTGCAAATCGTCATTATGAACTATTGTAAAAACTTATACAGTTGGTTGATTTGATGAGATTATAACGATTAAAAGCAGATCAGATTAAATAAATCAGAAATATTCAGTTTTGCATCATTTTATTATCATCATTATTATTAACAATAATTATTAACATTATTATTATGTTAAATTTAATATTAAATTTATTAATATTATTAAATTTATTAATATTAAATTAAATTAAATATATTAAATTAAATATTAAATTTATTAATATTATTAATAAATTATTATTATTATTTTTTTGTTATTTTTATTTTTATTACTATTATTATTTATTTGTTTATTTGCTATTATTATTGTTTATTGTCATCAATATATTTATATTTTATTATATTATATTTACTATTATTCAGCACTATCATTATTATTTTTGTTATTATTATTATTAATGAATTACTTTTTATTTATATTTAAATTATTGTGTTAAATTAAATATTTATTATGGAAATATTTTGAAAAATATCGATAAATGACAACAACAAATTAAATTTTTCGTTAAATTTCGTTATACGTTAATACGTTAAATTTCGATTTTTTGAATCATTTTTTTTACACTGCCAAAATTTCTCATAGATTTCATGTTTTTTTTTCAAATTTCTTCCAAATTTATTAAAAATAAATATAAAAATACATTAAAGATGTTACATTTAATACATTAAATGCATTAAAAATGCATAAAATGGCAAATTATAAATTCTTCTAATAGCTCTCACCATTAATGGTTAGGCTAACTCCACTGGCTACAAGAGTTTTCAAGCTGCTCGATCTAATGCCATGGTTGATAGTAATTAAACCATTCCATTGCCTAAGTCCATATATCGTTAACCTCTCTAATCTTTTGTGACTATCAGTCCAGATATTAATTGACCACTTTGCTTTTAACGCCATCAACCACAAGTAACGAAATATGTACCAACTACTGTGGTGAGCGACGAAGAATTAGCAATAAGATGAACGCTCCGCATTGTCAATGCAGATAGCACCAGAGCGAAGATGGACGCAACCATATGAGATTTTATCTACTCCGAGAATCCGTAATTGTATCTTTTTAAAATCCTCCACTCTCATTGACAATATCTCGCAACCAAGAATTGCAGCTATATGGACTCGCACTTTTGTTTTTATAGTGATTTCGCGTTATAAAAATTTCATCAACCCGTTTTTGAACCCATCTCTCGCTATCGTTATCCGGCTCGCTCCTTTTTTGGCCATTTGGGATTGAAGAGAATCCAAGAAATTTAAAATTTAAGTTTACCGAATGAGCGACTCATCGACTGAACACTGGTAAAGTTTCGATAAGCTAGTGGAATAAGACTAATCGAAAATGACGATCTTAAAAACAGTGGTCCTATACATTTTTGCATATATGTATATCTATATAGTTTTTTTAAGAACATTCATCATTGCTGATTAAATTGGCTCCGCTGACTTGCTGCATTAGACAAATATGCCATGCAGTATCTTGGCAACAGAGACACGATTTACTCCTGCCGAGAACAAAACCTCAGTACTGTGCTCCGAACTGAGCAACTAGCCACGGAACCATTCTCCTCTCCATTGCTTTCTCCGTTAAGCAACGCTGCCTCGATGAAATATCCACATGGGAGAATTCGAAACCAAGCCACGATCACCAGTGGTAATTATTTTACCACTGAGCCACCAATGCACATAATAAACATGTATGGAACATACACAATATATAAAACATAAGACATATAAAAATCTATTTCACAACCCCCATTGGTGGTACGGGTCACCTTCAAGACTCCAGAGGTCTCGACCAGAGGCCTGCGAGTTTGAAGGCGCAGTCGTTGCTCCTGGATTGCTCCTAGGATCCGTTGGAGCCGTTTTTAGAGGTTACATCAAGTGCTCTATCACCACTCCTACTACTACTTTGGCCTTCACTTTTCCCGTCTTCTCCACTTCCTCCTTCCCAGCAGCATTTTCTAGCACTCCTCTCTTGCTTTCGCTATGTCTCCAGTCACCAGTGCTGCTTCCTGCTTCTTGCCTACTACCGCGATATCTGTTCGGTTGGCAAATATTTGTTTGTCTGTCTGGGCAAAGAGAAGAATTTATTTATCCTCTGCGACGCATTAAACCAACCATTTTCTAATTTGGTGATTTGGTTTAATTTAATTAGAAAATATTTTAAATATTTAAAATTCGAGATAAATGAAAATAAATTTTAAAAAAACTCGCCTTGGAAGGGAAAATTTTAAACGAATTTAGCTTTATTTTTTTAAAGAATAAATTGGAAATAGTTCGGGCAAATTTGAATCGATGTTCATTTGAGAATGCTCGATGCGGCGAAATGAACGATTCGCGTTGTCTTATCGCTAAAATTCTTCACTAAATAAAAATTTAAAAATTTTATTTTGTGAAATTTAAATTAAATTCGTTTTAATTAAAGTTTATCGATTTATTTTAATAATTGCAATTAAACAATTAAAAGAGAAATTAAAATTTTTTCGAAAATAAAGAAAAGAAATTCAAAAAAATTAAAAGTTATTTTAATTACTTTAATAATTAAAAGAGCATTTTTATTGAATAAAAGTGATCGATTTATTAATTTCAGGTTTGTCGTCAATTTAGCTGCTTTTTAAATGTTGTTTTATTCGAGTTGTGACGAAACCACATCGATAAAAGTTGCGAAATTGTTTAGCAGATTTGCAAAGATTAAAAAAAGAAAAATTAAATTGAAAAACTTCTACTCATCCTTTTTTAAAAATAATTTCCAGAGAGGGGGACAATAAAAAAATTGCGTTGAAAAACCCTCAGAGAATAATCTGAAAGATCCGAAGAGGCAGTTCAACGAGATAGCACGAATCCATAGGCAAGGAATTTAAAATTAATATTGCGCTGTCAAAGTTGCCTAGTATCTTAAAGTGATTGTTTGGCTCCAGTACGCGGCAATTGCTAACTTTTCAAATTTTTTGACGGGCGTATACGTGATTCGTTAGATTTGATTTGACGTTGCGGGTGTATCTTTTTAGTTAATTTTTTATGCCTATGAAATATTTTTAATATTTTTATGGAATAAAATAAAAATATTCGTGCGATATTTTTAATGTACTTTGGCGCTTTCACCGTTGTAAACCAAACCTATTTTCGACTTGATAATCATTAAATCATTTGCAGTTGTTTCATCCATTTGCGGTTATTCGGTCGCTGTCCGTTCCGTTGAATTCATCCGCTTTGAATTCTATTTGTAATTTATAATTTTAGGCCTTTAGTTGTGTTCTACGCGAGTAAATAGGTTGAGGCGACTCACCTGTCCTCTCTTCGCCAGGTGACTGCTCGGCAAAGTTCGTCTCCTCCGGTTAACCAGCGAGGCGTTGTGAACCTGAAATAACGGGCTACCTTTGAAAAAGAAAATTTCGGGCCAGAAAATTCTCAATACTTCCCTCTTTTATTTTCATTATCTTGGACTCATGCGAAAAGTCGTTTAAACAATTTTCTTCCAGGAAAAAAATGTTTGAAGCGAAACTGGGAAATGCTGCTTTATTGAAGAAAATCATTGATTCGATCAAGGATCTCGTTAATGATGCACCCTTTGACTGTAGCGAAAATGCCGTTTGTCTTCAGGTGAATAATTTTTTAAGAACTTTTATTTCAATAAGTTTACTATGAATGAAATGGATTCCAACAAGCAGACCAACCCCAACGACAAGGTTTTTTAATTTTTTTCAGTAATACGTAGAAAAATATACGAAATTCACAGGTAAAATAGTTCACAGAAAGTTCAGGAGAATAAGAATGAAATAAATGAAATTGGATTAAATAAGTTAAAAATGATGATTGCTCGTAGTTAGCTTAAAATTGCGGAGATTTTCTTGATTAGGCTTAAAATCGTTTCATCGATTAAACTGTTAAGAGCTATTGCAATAAGATATTATAATGGGAAACGATTATGAAATTTATTGAGATTTTTTTATTGATTTTAAGTTATTTTTAATGAAACAATAATAAAATGATTACTTTTAATAGTTTTTTTTTTAAATAAACGCATTTTTTATAATAGAACGTAAAGAAATGTAAAACAGCTTTCAACTTTCAGGCAATGGATTCATCTCATGTTGCTTTGGTTTCGTTAAAATTGGAAGTTGGGCTTTTCGAAAGTTATCGCTGTGACCGAACGATTAATTTGGGTTTGAGTCTTGCTAGTATGGCAAAAGCGCTAAAATGTGCCAACAATGACGACACTTGTATGATTCGTTATGAAGAAAGCGATGGTGATTCAATTGTTTTCATTTTTGAAGATGTCAAAAGGGTTTGTTCTTAGTCAGATTAGTTGATAATGCTTTAATTACAGCTAATAGTATATTTTAATACGCAAAATATTCTATAATAAAAATAAAATTTAGGAAAAGAAGCAAGAGATTACTGTGAAGATGATGGATATTGATAGTGAACATCTTGGTATTCCTGATCAAGAATATTCTGCTGTTATAACTATGCCTTCTCTTGAATTTCAGGTTTGAATTTTTTGCATCTATATTTAAATAGTTTTTCGTTTGCAGCTATCGTTATCATTGTTTCTATTTCTATAATTTTAGAAGACCTGTCGCGACCTCGCTCTGTTTTCCGACTCGTTATTAATTACTGTAACTAAATCAGGTGTTGTCTTTACCGGAAAAGGTGATACGGGTTCATCGGTGGTCACATATTCGCCCACGAGTGGTGTTGATGATGAAAAAGAGGTAATTTGAAAGATTTTTTCTTTTATTCCTATTATTTGGTTTTTTTCTTTTTCAGTATTTTGATTCGGATCCACTCCTATTTATTCCAATAAATATTCCAATATTTCTTTTAATGAAAGCGCTCTCCTCTGATTTATTGATAATAATTTAGTATTCTATTCATCGTAATTTAAAGTAAAAAAAATATTGCAAATATTACGCATATTTTCTCATTTAGGCTGTGCTGATAGATGTTAAGGAACCAGTTAATATTAATTTTTCTATAAAATATATGAATCATTTCACGAAAGCCACTAGTCTTTCACCAAAGGTACGTTAATTTTGCCAACTATTGCAGTTTTCTGGTCAGTAGTTTTAATGAGGACCACATGTGAAAAAATATATGTTTTTGCAGGTGAAACTTTCTTTATGCAATGATATCCCTATAGTGGTTGAATACGAGTTGGAAGAGCATGGTCATCTTCGATTTTATCTCGCACCAAAGATTGATGATGATGAGGGAATGAGAGATTGAATTCATTGAATCTGTCGAATATTTGTTGTTATTATTTGGTTTTATTCTCATCACTTTATTATCAGCGGTCTCATCTAAAATAAAATGAAATATTGTCTAATTATTCCCTAGATATTTTTACAGTTAAGGACGTAAATTGGGTAATTTAAATTTTCTTTTGAGTAATTATGATATATTTATATAATATTTGTCATATTTTATTTATATTTATACAAAACATATGTGAACTGAGTGACTCTATGCGATCTTTGATCAGTAAAACTGATTTCCGTCGTTTTTCGAGCATGATTGGTCTATTAAATTATGCTCAAATTGAATATTCATTTTAAAGCGATTTTTTTCAACATAAATCTCTTATTCATATATTTTTTTTCTAAGTACTAGGACATACTCTGCCTATTGCTGAATTCTCCGATTGATTATCAAAGAATAAATAAATTGTCTTGAAAATTGATTTATCGCCAATGAGTTCGGTATATTTAAAATATCAGTTTTTTAGTAAGCGGAACTAATGGTCGCTGGAAATCGTTTGAAAAAAGATTGGTTGTTTATTCGGTTGTTGTAATTGTTTCGAAACATCCATCAAAATTATTTAGAAAGCAATGCAAAAGTATTCTTAAAAGTATAAGAGTTTTTCCAAAGATTTTTAATGGATATAGATGCGTTATGAGCCAATTCTTGTGAGCCAATATTTTGATATATTCATTTCATTAGGTGATAAAATTTGAATAGGTGAGTGGAGTTGTTCTCTGTGTTAATCGTTGTTAATAGGATTTTTTATTTATCGGTTTAAATTTTGTATATCCTTGTTTTTTTGTTGATAGGATAATTAGTATTGTTGATGCGTCTTAGTGCGTGGTATATTTCTGATTAATTGTGCTGAATGAGTTTGGAAAATTTCTTATTGAATTTCACCTTAGAAATTTGATTTCCAATTAACGAATGGTAAAAGAAAAGCGAGAATTGGTTTCGATAATGCCTTACTGTAGAGTCACTTGTGGGTTAAGCTTCGAGAATTATTTGAGTAAATCTTTCTTTTTTATTGAAAATTTATTAGAAGGAAGGGAGAAAGGAAGCAATAATGTTGTTAAATTTTTCGAAAACCTCAGGTTCGTCAATTCGATCAATGAAACAACTGCTGTTTAATGTTTTTTAACTTCGCGCTAATCGGACTAAGCGATTATTGTTCAAATTTTTATATTTCTTATTTTAAGCCAGTCTATGTATCATTGTATTTTATTTTTCTGCGTTATTTGTTCAGGTAAATTGGCAAATTTTTAATTAAAAAGGTTTTTGTTCAAATCCTCTGGAGAAGTGGAGTGAAGTACCATTTTTAGTTTCAGTAATTTCCAGGAAAACATTTGTTGATGTCATTCGAAAATCATAATTTAACTGAAATTAGTGATAATCGGAAGCGTTTCTTTTTTACAGCGTTTAGGCCGAGCCGATTTTATTTAAAGTCGCCTCTGTCCTAGCTTTTCCAGACTCTTATCCAGACATACTATTTGTCCAGACTCTTTGGTTCGCTATTTTTCGCATCTAACACCATTAATCAAATATTTGTTTGCATTAAATATGTTATATAAATAAATTATTTTCAAAAGCGTAAGATTCAGATTCATCTAAATTCTTGGAAATCAACTTGGAAATTATTAATTTGTGGTATTATTAATCTATATTAATTAATTAAAGTAAGTAAAATAATTAGACATAAGGCTTTCGTATTTTTTTGTGTTGAAGCAAATATTGTGTACTTCGAGGTAGTCGAAGCTGGAAAAGCGCTTCGTCTGGGAGCACGCCACAGCCTAGTCAAGGCCACTTAAAAATTCAACAATTTCGATTTGTTCAATTTTTTCAAGATAGCATTTTGCTTTATTATTCTTAAAAATCTCCACTGATTTTCCAGTCCAAAACAAGTGTATTATATGAATAGAAATGGGAAATTTCGAAATTTCGAAAAATTAAAAATATGTATGAAAACAACGATGTTTCATGACAAAATAGTCGTCTAATCCGCAAGCACTCTTCATCAAAACCTTTCAGATTTTGAATGTTTGTGCATCCTGGAAGAGCGAAACTTTGAATTGTACAATTTTTCACTGTGGGCTTTTAAGCTTAAAATAATATCAAAAATATAATTTCAATTTCAGTGGGGTCTAATGAGCATTGCTTGCTATCTCGAGCAAAATGTGAACAGGATTCCGAGTGCTATCGTGAACTATATTCACTATCAAAATGCACCATTTTTCGAGGTTCGCACTGCAAAATTTTCCAGAAATATATCATTCGAAAGAAATTATCCATTTATTAGTTATTTTCTTCTGCCTAGCTTACGATTTATTTTTTTATCACTAAATATCTTATCTATAAATAGGCATTTCAATTAAGTTGATTATTTTCTCCACCAACTTGTTTCAGATTGTTCAATTTGTAAGAATATTTCGAGAAAACGTTTGCAAGATTTCTTTGATGCCGATTGTACTTGTATTTATGGTACGTTTTTCCAAAATAAATTTCTGAAAAATTAAACAAAATTGTTTTTCAAGCCATAGCCATTTGGTTGGTGAATTTTCGCAAATATTATGGTATAGGGTTTGCTATTTGACGATAGTAAGCTTATTGTTATTAATAATGATGTTCGATTATTGCTAGAGAGACCTATCTAACTATTGAGTAAGAAATTTCTCTTCATCCTTCCATAAATTTGTTTATTTCTTCAGGTTTGACTATAAGTTGTGATGATTTATGGGAAATTATCAATAAGAAGCAGTGTGCCCGAAGAAATATGAGAAAAAAAGAAGACAGCCAATATTCTTTAACATTAAAAAATGGCGCATTGACGAAGGGACTAAAAGCCAAGAATGCACTCCAAATTTCCAAAAAATACAGCCATTTCAAAATCAGTTCGAGGCGAATCGCTAGGAGTCCGATGCTTAGCCAAATTCGAATCTGGAAAAATGAACTTTCCAAAGGTCTACTATTTAATCAATTTTACTATTTAAAAGGATTCTCTTTTTTTTTCTTATATCAGTGAAAAAATTATAAAATTTCATCAAATTATTTTTCAAATGATTTTAAAATTTGGTTGTCTCAAACTAAAAAATTCAACATATTTCAAACCGAATTAATGAAATACCTAAATGGTATAAATATCAATAACTTTTCTGCAACGGCAAATGAGTGCTGGTCCAAACTAAAAGAATGTCTCCCAAAATCAGCCGCTTTCACGCTAGGGCCATACTAATAGGAAGTGCGCTAAAAGTCAAACTCGTTGCTGGTTGAAGAAGTGCGGGATTTTGAATACCTTGGGTTCACTCTAATACCGATTGATTGGGATGACGGCAGCTAGAATAGATTGAGAAAACTTTTATGGAGTCGTCGCGAGATCACCAATAAGTCTTCATCTATATAGCCATGATTTGTTCGATCATGCTATATGGTTACGAGATATTGTCAATGAGAATGAAGATTATAAAGAAGTTGCCTTTGATCACTCTGTTAAAGGTACGGGTGGATAAAATATTACGTTATTGCATTCACCTTCGTTCACACAGAGCGCCGCCTTCGCTGGTTAGGACACATATTCCGTCGTCTACCACAGGAGTTGATATATATTTCATTATTTTCTAAACCGAGTGACGGTTGGCGTCAAAAGCGAGGAGGATCAGTCGAGGTCTGGACTGATAAACGCATAGGTGGGCAAGCAATATATGGATTTAGACAATGAAAAATGAGTGGCTTCTATAATTTCTGGCGATGGCGTCGAGCCGAGCAGCTTGGAAGCATCTTACCTTTATAGCCAATCTAACCAGTAATGTTGAGAGCTATTGGAGAAAGAAAGTTTATTTGTGATCGTGTTTTTTTCCCTAATTAATTAAGCTTTTTTCAATTTTTAGGAAAAATTTATATTTGACTTAAATTTTCCTCTTTCTTAAGGATCAAAGAAATAAAATTTTATATAGAAAAATAATAATATTTCTATAATAATAATAATAATATTTCTAGAAAAGAAATTATTTTTAGATGAATATTTGCGTTAAATATTGAAAAAAAAAATGAGAATTTTGCGATAATATCGAAATACTTTATTCAGGTTTACCGAAAACGACAAATCTAAGTAGTTTATCGTGTTCGACTGCCCTTTACAATATTTGCCTTCGGCATATTGCCTGTCGTCAACTGTGGAATATATTTCGTGCCACTTGTATCATTAATAATTTAAACCAATGTAAAATGACAAGCAGGTTAATGTTCTCTCAAGTATTATACAATTTAATTTTTCATTTATAGTGAAAATGTCAATTTTATTTATTAAGTGATAAAATTACTTTCGGTTTTGTTGAAGGGAACATTGTTGGCAATCGTATGAAGGAATAAGTTGGACTGGATTAGGCAATTGTTCATGCCATGATACTGATTCTGATTGTCACTGGGTGCTGCTACAAACAAGATACAATAAGTGTATTTGTAAGTTTGGCAAATTGCGAAAGAATAATTGCTCGTAATGTCCCTTTTTTACTCTTAAAATTTTTTAAGAATCCGTAAAGAGTTCTTGTTGATGCTTTTGTTTATAATTTATTATCTGACGATTTGCTATTTGTGGATCCCACAATTTACTTAAAATAGTTTATAATATTAGAAATTTTAGAATAGAAATTTTTTTCCGAAATAAGTATTTATTTTTTTTATTAATTTTGGAATGTTAAATTTTTTACTAAATTATTTAAAAATAATAATAACAAACTCATTAAATGCTAGTGAGTGCTATATTTTTTTGCAAGAGAAAAGTCGACTTACATGGATCCTCGCTTTTAGAATTTGAGAATCTGGTAAACTAAAAAGTATGTAGTGTATTTTCAAAAACTGACCAAAGTTTTAACTCTTTTATGGACAACTGCGCAATTAATAATTAGTCTCTACTAATAACTGAAGTAAACAATAAACTGAAGTAAACTATAAACAAATTTACAAATTAATAAAAATTAAATAAAATAAAAGAAAATAATTATAATTAATGAAAATTGAAGAACAAAATTAGAATAAAAAGAATTTTTGTACGTATTCAAAATCTTCGCCTTTTTCGAATGGTCTCATTATTTTCGTTTCGTTTAACTGTTAGAATGAGTGCTTAAAGGAAGATTTCGCCGGAGAGTCATTCGCCACGTTTAGTCCCAGTATTTAGTTAAGATAATTTTTCTTTCAGTGGCAATTTTTGTTCTATCGAGCGATTATAATCGGTCCATTAATCGTTTTTTTTTTCGAATTTAATCGTATTTTATAGGCATTTGAATTGAACTTTAAGCCCCAATAGTCTATTTTTTTTCACTTCATTTCATCGGAAAATAATTACTTAATTGCGTGTTCACTTTTCTTTCCTCTTCAAAATTGAAATCCAATTAGCTTAAAAAAGCAAATTGACAACAATTTGCTCAATTAATCTTATTTTTCTATTGAAACTACTATTTTTTTATAAATAAAAAATCATGTAAAGCATTATCAACTGTTAACGCTTTTAGATGAAATCGGTCATTCTGAGCCTCAGTCGTTGTTTCTAAGAATGCACGACAAAGAGCGTGAAAATGCCTCTATATCCTCGCAAGAAAAAAATTATCATATTTCCAAAGAAGAGGTGATTACAATAATAATCGTAATTATCAACGGTGTATTTCTCAGAAAAACAAAAATGTCGTGCTTTTACCTATTTTCAGGCAAATTTAATTCAACTAGCAGCAGTACCATTTTCAGAGCCAATAAGGCTAACAACGAAACTTATTCCAACAACGGAACCACTCACATTGCCTTTTACAACTCAAGTTCCTCAAAAAATAATGCCAGAAACGCATTCGGTATATTTCGTTCGATCGTTTCAAAAAGAGAAGAAGTACAATGCAATTCATGATCATTGCTATGGAAAACATGTCCAAGAAAAATCGTTAGGGGAAACTGAATCTGCAGTAGAAAGAAAGTATGGGATTATCGATAGATTTCATCTTTATTATCATTCTTTCTTATCGTTTATCTTTTTCTTTCGTTTAATTGTGTCTCGTATAATTCACGGCGAATATATGGAGAAGACCTTAAAGTCTTATAAATAATTTTAATTGAAATTCTTCTTCTAACAGCTCTCATTGTTACTGCTTAAGCTGGCTGCGCTGGCTACAAGCGTAAGACATTTTTAAATTTTGTGACCAATGCCATCACCGACAGTAATAGAAGCCATTCCTTTTCCCATCCCCATGATCACTGCCCTATGCATCCAAAATCTTTCCTAATTATGCCCGGGTCTTGATTGGCCCACTTTACTTTTGACACCACCTATCGCATGGGTTAGCAAGCTGCGAAATATGTGTTATATCAAATCTTGTGGTGGACGATGAAAAATTGGCCTAAACAGCGAAGGTGATGGTATGGCCTCAAAGAATTTTGTCCACTTTATGAGGCGATCCTTAATAGGCTTAACAGGCACACCATTATTACCTTGTATCATTTTACTGACCATTCCCTGAGTTATAGTTGCTTTATGAAGAAGGCGGAATAGTTTTCTATTATCGCCTAATCGAACCGCCGTTTCCATTCTCAAAGCTATGTCGCTCCAATACTAATTTTTCTCCGCCGTGCTGCTATCGTTTTAATTCTTCGCAATATCCGATACTCCCTTGACATTCGTACTTTAACCTTTTCAGGCAACAGTGCAATTAGCGCATCAACCGTTCAAGTGATGTCATTGATATTCATTTCACTGGGATGCTTCAATAATTTGAAATGCTCTGACTATCGCCGAATCATTTACTTTGATATAACTGAAAGATTTTAGGGAGTTACTTTTCGAGAGTTTTCAGTTGTCACGGGTTTTATGCGGATCTTGGCTTGAACCATAACATGGTCTGATTTATGAAGGTTGCCAATTTCAGCGCCTCAATAAGAAGGACTAGCTAGTGCTGAACTCTTACAACAGCGTCTAATAGCGTCTAAAATCAATCAATTTACTTGGAGTGTTGGTTATGTGGTGAGTTCTAGGTAACTAGTTGTCTTCTTCGACGTCAGAAGGATAAGCTAATAAAAGTTCAGCAAAGCAAAGAAGGCGTTCCCTATTGGTATATCGGATTCTGGTGCCATACTTGCCAGCCACCAAATTAACCATCGCAGCATCGTAACTTGCGTTCCAGTTTCTCCAGATTACGACCATGTCATCTTTTGGTAGAGATATTGTTATTATTTGAAGTTCCATGTAGAACCTATCCTTGTCGCAGTTATCTGCGCATAAAGTTGGAGCACTGATAACCGAAAACTGCGGAATCTTCCTTTGAAGCGCGCGTAGGCCATACAATTGTTTACTGGCTTCCACTTAATTAAAGCGAACCCAGTTTTTTCAGATATGACAATCGCTACACCATTTCGCCCCGGAAACACCACAGTCATATAGCCAATATCTCTCCTCGGAGTCAGATTTAATGATTTCTTAAGAAAGACCGAAGTAAAGAAGACAGACCTCTAACAAGTATGCGATATCCACAGAATGTTTAGAAAAAGTGTGGATAATGATCTCTTGAACTATAATGTCCATAAATATTCAAATGTTCCAAGCAGCTATGGCCAACACCTCGCCATGCCTGCAGAGTGCCAGTGAATAATTTTCCGTTTTCCTTGATAGGTTTCGAGCAATTACCCTGACTCGCGAATATCATATTCTCAATCCTTGAAGTCGTTTGATTACGACTTCAATCGTATATTTATACTTATCGTATGCACCACTGAGTTGGGAATGCGAGTCGAAGGACGTGGGCGTCGCATCAAAAAGATCTGACTTTTTCACCAATGAATCACTTAGGGACATAGTCACTGGTGAGGGACATAGTCCCTCAGTAGCACCACAATTTGTGATTTTAATATTTAATTTTTGATTTTCAATATTAAACAAGTCGTTCGAAAGTAATTTCAATGAAAATACAAATTAAAACTAAAATTAAAAGCATTTATTTCGATTCAATTCCTTTTTATTTATTTAAATCATTTTTTCAATTAATTTTTGTTAGTTCATCAATTCAAAAAAACGCATAAATTTTTGAAAAATTTTTTTAAATTGTTTGTATATTGTTTTTAAATTTTTTTAAATTGTTTAATTCTTTAAATTTATGTTTAAATTGTTTATATTTATCAGTTGAATTATCGGACTCGTATTTGGCCTTAGTCATATCAGACTGTCATTGCGGTCGTTCGTACCAGACAAAGTACCACTGCGGCCAGTCGTATCATGTTAACTACTATCGTGTAACGCTATAAGCTTTTTTTATTTCTTTTTATTTTCTTTTTATTTTTCATCTCTTCTTAATTTTTCCTTGATTTTTTGTTGCTGTTTTTGATAGGAGAGTAAACTTATCAAACTTGGTACGATTGGCCGCTTAGGGTGATACAACTTTAGTGATATGCCAAACAATACGAGTGCAATAATCAGCTGACATTATAAATACAAATAATTCGAAGATGTTTTTTCAAAAATTCTTGCTTTTTAAATTGATGAGCCAAAAAAAAATTAATTCAGAAAAAGGTTGAAGAAATTCAAAATAAAGAAATTTTAAAATTGAAATAGAAGTTTTCAATTTTAATATTTTAATATTTAATATAATAATATTTTCACTTTTGATATTTAATATAATAATATTTTCACTTTCTAGTTCACAAAAATTACTTTTGAACGATTTGAATTCAACTGGAAATCAAAAAATTTTTCTCACAATTCCTTTTTCTTGCAATTCCTTTTGTTCTCCATAATTTGTTTAATATTGAAATATGCTTAAAATTCTTTAAAATATATTTGCAATCAAATTTAATTTGATAATTATATTTTCAGTGATTTCCGTTCAGTTGTTCAGATGAATCGTAATACTTCAATGCAAAATATTGAAGTATAATATTTAATCTTTATCGATTCAATTATTTTTATTTACGATGATGACTGACGCTAAAATTAAAATTTTGCACTTTTTTCAGATAAAAATGAGAATTTTCCTTATTTTCCGAGAATTCGAGCTCTTTACCTCTTCCTTATAGCTTTTAGAGCGTTTGGAAATTTTCGTAATTAAGTTGATGTTAATGTTAATTAATGCGATAAAATTTGTGACAAAGCAGGAAAAATGGTTGACTAGTCTACTACAATTCTTAAATTAATAATTAAACGATTTTTTTGCCAGACTTTTGATCTCTTTATCCAATTACTTGCATTGTTTTCTTAATTTTTAATCAATTCTGTAATTTGCTTTAAACTTAAAATGAACATATTTAGGCAAAAACTTCCGAAAACACTGATTCCATCGCAACATATATGAGTGCAACTGGCGAAATATTATCAAAAACTGCTCCGAAATTATCAGTAACACCAATTTCAGATCACTGGAATATTCGAAAAACAATGAAAAAGTTTCAAAAAAGCGAGCGAATCAACTCACCTTCATCGTTCATGCAAAAAAATTCAACAAATAAAAAAGGTTATAAAAAGTTTGAAATCAATTATTTTAATTATTCACGTTGTTCTATTTTGTCTTCACTAAGCTCTCGCCGAGAGCCAGGAATTGATAATGATAATGACCTTTATTGATACGAGATACTCATTGATTATTCATTATTCAGCGTTTCACAAAGAACTTCGTAAAATAAATCGTGGTTTGATTCATTTTTAATGCTTCTTTTTAGAGAGTTTTGAATATATGAGGATATATAAGTGGTATTTCGCTAAGAGCAAGCAACATAGGATCCGATTCAATTTTATTGATAAGAGTAAATCTATCATTAAAAATAAGATTTGAGCCAATGCTCGAAATCTATCCATATCTCTATCCCCAAACAATTCATATTGATGAGAGTTTTTTATCCTATTGCTTTATATCAGCCAAACTAGTGATAAGTAAGTAAGTATTAGAAATGTATTGAGGAAAACCATTGTTAATTATTCCAAAATGGAAATAAAAAATTCTCTTGTCATTAAGGAAAAATAAGGTTTTTTGAGTCAATTCAATGGGCTATTAATTCCTTGTGAAGGAATTTTAATGGAAGTTTGACAAGTTTACTCAAATGTCCATAAACAAATTAACTAAAAACATCGCAAAACTTAATAAGCAATAGCATTTGGCTATAGAAACTGCTTATATAAATAATAAAAAATTGAAGAGACAACCCCCTTTCGTTTTTCAAGCGAGTTGAACTATAGCGAATACCGATTCCATTTCGATGTGCAGTCCTTCCTTCCTATGTCACCATCGATCTCTATTTTCCATAAATTCTCCTATATTTTTTATTCTTCATGTTTCATATTTGTGCTATGCATCACAATTCGTTCACATCTTACAGTAAGTTCATGCATTTCCGCCTACAATCATTGTGAAACATTCGATGCATGTAAATGGCATTTAAGTGAAGTACAGATTCGATGCGATGAAAATAAGTGTAATCGTCAACTTTGCGCAGAAGTACCTTTTTTTCAATATCTTCATGTTTTTATATTAATTATTTATCATATCAATTTATCAATTATCAATTTATTATGGTCAAATAGAGGTTAAGTTCAAATTTTATTCTAACAATTGGAAAATTTATATTTAATTTTTTTCTTCTCATTTCACTAGATAATTTAAAATGAATAATAATCAATAATATGATAATGATGATAATATTTATAATTATAATAATGGTAATAATAATCATAATGATGAGAATTCTTTTATTCATTGCTAGAAATAAATTTTTTATAGATGAAATTTGAGTTTCTTCGATTGATTTAAGAATTTATTGATAATAGTATATCATATCAATTTGCCAACAATTAATTTATTAATTAATTTTTAATTTAATATCTATTTTAAATTCAGTTTGTGAATTAAAAATTTTCTGAATCCATTTAAGTGATTTGTAATAAATATTCTTCATAATTATAATTTTTCTAAACTTCCATGTAGGAAATTGAATTCGATTAGCCACAATTGTATTTAATTGTTAATGGCAGTATTTTTTTTATATCTTTGAATTTTTTTTGTTTAAATTTATATAAATTTATATAAGAGTATAAATTTTTTGATTTAATTCCTCAATTTGGTTTTGTTTAAACATCATATAATTAATAGGCATTGAATTGTTTTTGATTTGGCTGGACTCCATTGGCTATTAGAATGAGATACCTTTGCTAGAATTAGGATCATTTTGGAATAGAAATAGAAATTAGTTTTTTAATCAGCAGTCGAATTTTCTCTAATCAAATATTTAAATAGTTTGAGTGAAGGCTACCATTAAAAAATAAAAATTTAGCCATTAGGAGACTAGTCGTACTTCTAACGCAAAATGATTTCCGAGTATTCCACTTATCAATGGAACCAGTCTGTTTTGAAATATTATTGGAAAAAAAAGAAAGCAATAATTGAAATAGTCTGGTAAAATATTTGCCTTATCCATCCTTCAGCTGAGAGTGAAAATTCTTTTTAATTTTCGTTTCAGTTAATTCATCCTTTTATTTTATTTCAATTTTATTTCAGTATCGTATTTATTGGTATTCCTTTAATGCAATCAATTCTCTTTCTCCTTAAAAACTTTTTCAAATTTAGGTTTTCAATCTTTGAAGTTTCCAGTGTTAGCCTTTCGAAATGTCTTGAAAATATTATTCGCCTTTTGTTTTCTTTACTTCCATTTGGTTCCAAGTTAATATTAATGTTTTTTTTTGTAGATTTTATGTAGGAATATAAAATTTTTGGTTTTATTTTTGGTGGTCCAAGTTGATACTAATTGGTTTGGTTTTGGTTTCCTCTGTTTCATTTTGATTTTAGAAATTATTTTAGAATTTAGATTTTAGTTAATTTGGTTAATAGAAATTATAGTGTAATTATCACTTATCATGATTGTTAAATTATTATATTATATATTATTAATTAATTGCCTCTTCGTTCTTTTAAATGTTTGAAATATTTGGGTGCAAAAATTTTTTCTGCAAAAAAGGGTGTGTGGACCTTTATTTTGTTAAATCCAGAGAAGGCTCAATCATTTAAAAATGGAATTCAGCGATTTCAGGCGATTCAGCGATTTGTGAGTTATGTCTCACGGTCAGTTGTGGAATCTTTAATGTTTTGTCACTGTGATTTACAGGATGTCGACTGCATTTCACATCAAGTTCGTTCGTTTTTGCAGTCGTTTAAAATTACGCGATTTTTATGAACTCTGAAAATTATAATCACGACGGTTGAGATTATTATTATTTTCATTTATTTTAATCAAATAATAAAAAAATGTTTTAAACCATTTTAATCCAAATTCTATACCAAATATGACAAATTTTGATGTGTGGTGCCACACTTGTATTGCAAAAAAAATTAGCGCCGCCGAAATTGTAATTGTGTAATTGAAAAAAATTGCCTGTCGATAGCTAATTCTAATAATAGATATATAAGTAAGTAAATAAATAGCCTATATTTCCGATGAAAAAAATTTCTTTAGTATTAGAAATTAGCTGAGTGCGATTATTGCTCATATTTTGGAGAACTGAGCTGCTCATGAAAAATTTATCTGACAAGCCAGCGGAGCGAAGTCAGAAATAATGAGTACTCTTAAAAAAAGAATTGCTAGTAATGAAAGGAAAATACCTATAAAAGAAAATTTTAACGATTCTAAAAAGCTTAGATGATTTCAGCAGCGGCTTTTTCCCAAATGTTTGTATAAGATCGATGAAAATATTCCACCGCTAACTTGCGTCGAGGCAATTGAAAAATGTCATGCAGAAAACAGATGCCAGTAAGTATTTAAATTTTCAAGAAATCTTTAAAAAATACTTTGTTCTTATGGATTTGAAATTGGTTTTTTATATATTTATTTTCGGAAATACATGATATGGGTTTTTTTTGTATGCTCCATAATTTTATATATTTTAGCCGATTCTTATCAATTTTTTTCGATTATTGTCCTGTAAATGAAGCGCAATGTAGGCTATCGGAATTTGAACACTGCAGACACGCTTTAATTGCTGTACGTGGCACTTATTTGGAATATCCTTGTTATTGCTTCCAAAACGATCATAACTGCTTGCGGTATCAAAATGCTATGCTTCCTAAAAATCCTTGCATCGGTTAGTATTCTATTGTACTTTGCATTAAAATGAAATGTCTTTAACATGTCTTTTTAGAGGTAGGTCTTACCAATTGGATTTCAATTTAATGAAATTTCGACTAAGGGACAAATATAAAAAAAGTATGGAAAAGCACCAAGCTTACGGTAGTTCTTGTGGTTCTATACTTGGTTCTCCGACAAAATGGTGTGCCAAATGAGTGCTACTAGAAGATAAAATCTTTAATCCCAACTAGATGTCACTTCTTACTTGTTAAAAAGTTATCAATTATGATTATTATAATTCATTACTTAGCGTTATAATAGTTATAATTAATATATTTTAATCAGTTAATAAATAATGACTATTTGAATTAATAAAAAAATTAAGCAGATCTTCAATCATTCCCCATTCTCCATCTATAGAAGTGTTACGCAAAATTTATCATAATTTTATAGAACAAGCAATGATTGACTATGGTGCAGACATAAAGGGGAATGCTAAGAAGGAAACGGTTAATTCAATTAGCCATTCATTTAATGCAATGAATAAGGCAGTAGATCCAGGTGAAGCCAAGGATTATTCTATAAATAATGAATGGCGCAGTATTTCATCATCGCAAGAAAATAATGAACAAAGTCTTCAAAGCACTAAAGTAAAAAATTTCAAAGTTTGATTGATGCCCATAATTTGATTTATAACTAAATATATGCCCAATTATTTAAATTGATAAATTTCCAGGATTTTAAAAGTGATATAGGCATAAATATGCATCACACTTCATCCGATAAAGCTCAACCTGTTAATGCATTCGATGCTCGGAAAAACTCAGCAGAAAAAGTTAAAGCTATAAATAAGATAGCTGGAACTCTGTCTCACGAAAAAACTAACGAACACAATATATATATTAACAACGATATGCACAGCAATTTAGCTGATAAGAAAGCAAACCAAGCGAAATTAAATCGGAGTCACAAGAACGAAATTACCAATAAATATGATCAAAAAAATCTATATGTTATCGATACCAATAATAATGTAATGGAAGTAAGTAATAGGTTATTTAACATAAAAAATGACTGTTTAACGAAGGAAACAAATTGCATAAAAAAAGTGACGAGATAAAATATTTCAATGTTACGTGATTTAAGATAATTAATACTGAAAGAAGTGACACCACAACCAACGAAAAGATAAGCAATGGTCGAACTGATTTCGATAACAAGACAAAAGTGAATGAAGGTAGTAGTAGCAGTACTGATTATCGAAAATATGACAAAAATGATCGGCAACAACCATTTGATAATTTAATAGATGTTTCGAAGCCAGTTATTGTTGGAAGTATATATTCAGACGAAGAGAAGAGAAGTACCTCGATTTCCGACAAAGCAAAACCTCTAGCAAAAATGAAACCTTCATTATCGGTGCTTTCCACAGTTTTTGAATCGACTTTCTAATCCATTTTCACTTTATGATCAACTGTTGGCACTGTTATCTTAACTGTTATCTGTTATCTTTCTAACTTTCCACAAAATTTCAGTAGGATTTTTAGAATGCAAACAATTTAAAATGTGTTAATATTATATTATGTGTTAATATTATTAAATAATATTATAATATAAAATATAATATAATATAAAAAATTTACCATAAATTAAACATAGAAATCTGCACCAAAAAATAAAATGGAACTCGAGGAAACTGATTATAATGAGCGATACCAGGCAATCAAGTTCATGAATTATACTCCTCCTCCTGAAGGTATCCACCTTTAAGCTTATCTTTAAAATGCTATAAGTTACATTCATTTAAACCTTCGCGAAATTTTTATTTTATGGATAACTGTAATTTGCTTTTTAAAATTTTTGATTATTTTTTAGGAGGGTGTGCATCGAGAGATTTCAATGGTAATTGGATAATCCATCGTAAAGGATCAACTATAAGAGTAAGGATCGATCGCCATCATTTTTTAACTGATCTATTAAACAGATTTGGTTCTAGTTAGATTCAAGGATTCAAAGAAAGAACAATTTAACAAACTGTAATGTCGATCAGTGCCAATTCATTTTATTCTATTTCCGTTTTATGGTTTTTATAGCATGAACTTTAAAAATCAAAATATTTAATATCCATTTAATGTCCATTGAAAAATAGCTAAATTAAAATAATTTAATAAGTGAAATGGTTTGAAATGAATAATTAGTTCTTCAGCGCTATTATGATTGGGCTGGTCGGTGTTCTTCTTGGTGTATATGCATGGAAAATGAACAGTTAAGTTGCACTAAACTGCCATGCTTAGATGAGGGGAACTGTAAAGCTCCACTTTCTGAAGTTGGTCAGTTTATCTTAATTCGAGTTTCATGTCATGATAATGTGGAATATTAAATTTCTTATTTTTATTCGCTGTAAATACCCTAACAATAGTTTAGAAATTGATTCACTCTAAATTAGGCAATGAAATTCTTGAAATTTTCGTTTGATGATTTAGATTTAAATGTTATTTATAGAGAAATAGTAAATAAAAGAAAAGTAAATGCATGAAATATATATTCATTTCAATTAATTTAGTTCATTTCTTGATTATATCGGCCAAAAAACCAGGAAGATTGTACTAAAATTTTCGAATAGATTAAGTACATTAAAAGTCTGAATAAATTTAAGGTTGGAATATCATAATATTTAATGAAGATGGGAAAATAATCAAATAATCGAAGAATATGTTGGAAAAATTTTTTTTATGGAAAAATTTATTAGAATGACATCAAAAATTATAATTTTCAGCGTATGGAGAGCGTTTGTACATAAAAAATCGTGGTGCTTGTACATGTCAATTAATGAAATTTATCTGCGATGAACCAGAAAAATTGCCGAAACTCGGTCCAGGTATATAACTTTAAAATAGCTTATTTTCTTCGTTTTCTCTTCTAGGGCGTTAACTAGGGCGACGCATTTCTAAATTTCTCGGCCTGAGGCCACATGTGAAGATATAAGACGTTATCTTCATCGCCTAAGGCCATATGTCGTAGAATTCTTATGTATTTCTTATGTCCAAAATCCAAAATCGCTAATGGCATCCTAATTGCTTCTTTCCGATTTTCGATCCATTTATCACTGCTTTAGCAAGCAGCGAAAGATGCGTCATTTCTTGTGTGATGACGTATAATGACGAACATTTATAGCATAGGCGACACTCTTGCGATGGCATTGTTGTCCGAGTGAAAATTTGAAAATAGACGCAATCATGTGAGATTAGGCGAATACGGACCTTCGTTTTAATCTACGGCGATTCCACAAAAGTTTCGTAAGGTGGAAGAAAACATTTTCAAGTACTGCTGTCCTGGCTAGAATTTCATCTTTCACTTGGCCAGTTTTATAAGAGTGCATCTAAGATATGTAAATCAATTCCCCAGTCTGCCATGAATTAATTAATGAATTAATAAAAATAGATAGCAAATTTACGCTTCTGTTATGTAATCGAGGTTTCTAATTCGATATTTGAGAAACGCAACATAACGAGGTACGCTCAAATCTTTATCGTCTTCATTTGCGCTGAGTTGGAGCATATCTGATAATCCGAGACTTTGCGAAAAAAATTTGCCTTAAGGCATAGGCCATTTGGTTGTAACAGGCTTCCAATCAGAAATGACTGAGCCTTTTCACATATGACAATTATAGCGCCATTTTGCCGCGAATCATCCGAAATGTTGCAATTAAACAGCCAATAACTTTGATCTGAATCAGTCACGACAAATTGATCGAGACTTGAAAACGACGGACTTCCGACAGATATATGGATAAAGTAGAGATAGTTACAGCCTGAAAAACAACTTCCACAAGCGTTATGCCGTCGCGGTAATTAAAATCTCATCGCATATTCACAGTATTAAGTGATCTTTTCTTCAACAGATTCTGTTATCGTGGTTCAAGAGCCTTTTACTGTTTTGATATTCCTCTCCTTATTAGACGCGTTCGCTTGGTATATACGTGTCAGATTCAAGTATCGTCTGAATATTCTGAAAGTGTTTGAGAGTATCTGATTTTTTTACAACAAAGTTCCTTGAGGATAAAAGTGCAAGTGGATTTCCAACAATAACCCGAATATTTAATTTTCTGATGGGTCCTATGAGAAGAAAAGACAAATAATTTTTGAAACCATGGAGATGACGAGATTTTGAAGAGATGTGAAATATTTTTATATTGCTATTGAGATATCAAAAAAAAACCAATATATAGAATAATATTAACAAATATAAAATGGATATTTAAAATGTTAAAAAAAGCACCAAAAAAATAAAAAATAGTAGAAAAGATATGAGCTCTTTAAAAATTAGACCAAATAGAGATTATTCATGAAATTCGACCACTCGCTGATAAAAAGTAATCATTTAATTTGCCTCCATGAATGCATCGTTGAATAGCTGAACTTTCCTTTGTAACTTTTTTTCTCTCACCAAAAGCTTATACTGAATATATTTTCAATAATTATTTCTAGTCAGATATATATTTGAATAAGTAACCTTCTAGGAAAATAAGAACTGGCCAAATAAATTATATATATTTAAGGTGTTTACTTGCTAATTGGCTATTCGTCCGATGAAATAGTAATGTTAAAAGAAGCGATGCCAAAAAATGTTCTCGAAAATGCCGGTTTTGTATCAGAGGATTCTTTTGTTACCCATGATATTGGCAGTCGATTGCAAATTGCTCTCGAATTTATTTTGCCAAAAGTAATAACTTATTCGCAATTTCATTTCAAGTTATGTTGTGCAGTGGTTTTTAGATTTGATCTTAGGATATATTACACTTAGAAAAAATGAGCTCACTTCAAAAACTTTAGGAGATATAATTATTATTCTCGTTGAATTGTATAAATAGAGGTCGATTCGGAAATGCCTTTCTGTGCTTCCTGATTTAAATTTTTATGAATTTTTTTGCAGACAACGAAATGCAAAATTGTTTTATTAGATGAGTATAAAGAATCAGGAAATATAATATTTCAAGTTGACTGGTATGGCAAACGTTTTGGCTCCAATGAAACCAGAGAACGCTGGCATACTGGGCAACCGGAAAAAGTTTTCTTTTGTTTAGTCTTTCTTGGAAATCTTCCGCATTACTCTGAAATTACTTAAATTACTTCAATAGGTGATGGAATTATCAATATAATTCATTGTTTAATATGGTAAATGATCATAAATATCCTTAAAATTTCCTTCGTTAAAGTTCGAATTCGCATTTTTGAATTTTATTTTGATCCTCTTGTATTCACTGTTCCACTGTTTACTGTTCATCATGCAGGCCTGCTCGAAATATATAAAACAGCTTGCCGAAAGTATTTCAAGAAATAATGCAATCCGTTATGAATTGGTCCTATCAACAGTAAAACAAATTCGAGTCTTAGATTTGCTTGATGCGCTGCCTGCATCATCGGAATCTGCACGGAGATTACCTAACATTGCAATTGCAATTACTGCAATTATTTGTAATAATTAAAAATCATTTTTGTTATCAAGTTTTTTACTAAAAAAAAATTTGCTTCAACATTTCCCTATAATCAAAAGATTAAACGATTATGAAATGAATCAAGAAAAAAGTAATGTTTTTTCCAATAGTTTTTCCACAGCTATTTACAAGCAGAAAACAATTGTCCATTAATGTTGGCTATTTAGATTGCAACTTATCTCCTCTACTGACGATTCGTTCATAATTGGCGAGGAGAATAGAAATGAATTAATGAATTATCGGTGAGGAAATATGGTGACATGGAGATCAACAACAGCAAATGCATAATATAAGACTGTCAAATTTCGTCGCTTAGATTCTGTGTACTTCGATACTAGTAAAAATTTATGTGAATATACAAATGTTCAGCTTTTCTTGTCATTTTTTGCTTTATTTAGGATTTTTTTTGAGATATAAAAGTTTTATAAAAGATTGTAGAAAGTCATAATTATTGTATATGCACGTTAATTTTTTTTTGAGATGGCTCAGTGGAGTGGTATTTTTACAATTATAAATTCGCTAAAAGCGATGATTTATCATAGTAAATTTTTTTTGTATAAACAAGTAGTTCAATAAGAATTATGTAAAAAAATTTTTTTAAATTCGAAATAAAAATTCACATTTGTTTTATTTTCTAAAAATTCAATTATTAACAATTCGCGAATGAATAAGTAAAAAATTTTCCGATGATTTTATTTTATAAAAATTCTGCTAATTTTACTCTTAAAAGTTAAAAATTTACAACTAATTAAAATATTGAGGATTTTTAATAAATTAAAGTTGATGAAATTAAATAAATATTTTTTTGGATATAAATATTTTTTTGAATAAATATTTTTTGAAAAATATTTATATTTTTTTATTTTTTATTTGAATATTTGTATTCTATATTTTTGAAAAATGCATCAATGTTTCGAGGCAGGATAGTGGTATTCAGATATGAAATTTATTTATAATGGTACTTGCGAAGTACATAACGAGGAATATGGAAGCCATGAAAATGAGCAATTATTCCCGACCATTGTTCAATGAATTTAGAATAACTGGTTTTTTGGGATCAGTTCGACACAGGAAGCAGTCGTTTTAAAATCATCTCCATGAAATATCTAAAAAGCGATTTGGAAGGTGGAGGAAGATTTCATAAAAATTTGATAAGATTTTTGTATAAAATAAACTGCAAAACTGGTCGATTTCATGAAAAAAAAAGAACTATAGGACAGCTATATTATTTTGAAACCTTTTAAAAATTTTTAAACGACTTACATGGTAACAAAAAACACTATTTACTATTTCAGGAATGGAAGTATAGAAGAAAGGTGGAATGAAATTATAATAAAACTGCGTTTGTTTTCAGTCGTTCATTCCCCTCAGCAATAATTTTTTAATGTTTTTCTATTCACAACTAATGGTCCTTAACTATTTCTGCTTTTTTTATTAATGGTTTGTTCATTTTTCATATTCTTTTTCTTATATTCTCGGTATGCATAATTCACTATTTTGTAGCCAAAATGTTATCAAATGGATCAAATGCTGTTTGAATAGTTCTCCGCTTCAATTAATAAATGATTGAGAATTACTAGCCAGAATTTAGTTTTTTCTATGACAATTCTTTTTTTATTTCAACTTTTTTATTAAGCAATTTTTTATTCCAATTCTGATCATAATTCCAGAGAAAAAATTTGATGACAAATTTCAACGAAAAGATTCGTGTGACAAAATAAGGTTAATAGAAAAATTTTCTCTTATAATAGAATCCATTGTTTCTAACTTGGACGAATTCAGACCACTGGCTAGGCTGGCTCCGCTGATTATGAGGATAAGGCACTTGAGCTGCTCGATCCGATGCAATATTTGAGACTAAAAGAAGCCACTCTTTATAGCATCTTATCCCATATATTTTTGGGCCCCTCCATGCCTTTGGCGCTGTACATCATAAGGTTTCGAAAGTAGCGGATATACGAAAATGCAGATGTTATCTGAGACAATCATGTGAAGTCCATTCGGCTAAAATATGCTTTATGAGTGGACCATGCTAAGTAGATATTAGTGGACCACTAGCTTGTTAAAATCCTCTGCTCTCATTTGCCATGTTGCAGCTACACAACAATATGGTTCGCACTGGAGCCACATAGATGCAATCTTCCAATGGTAATATCGCTACGATTCCATACTAGTACTGCTAGACGAAAAATGCATTTCTAGTCGCAGGACCGCGTGCAAATTTCATCTTTCGCTTAACCATTTCATATAACACTTCCAACATATCTCCCATTTTCTTAAAATCTTGATCAGTCGATTAAAATAAGCATTTCAGTATTGGAGTCAGGAAAAAGATATAAAGGTTTTTTATTTTTATTTTATTTTTTTATTTTTATATTACTTACATCAATAATACGATTATCGCTGTAGTTGTTGATATATTATCTAACATGTTTCGCATTTTTAACATCTCCGATACTATGCTCTAGGCCAACATTTCTTAATGGCGGTAAAGGAAGGAAGGAAGGTAAAGGAAGGAAGGATCCGTAATCCAATTGTTCGCACAATATTTACTACAGAAGAAACAATGTGGCTCTGGTGGACACGTCTTTAAATCGAATGGATTGTACCGTTGTTCACTTGTAAAATATTTTTATGGGTCGATTTTCTCCAGAATACAGTCGCATTTGATTACTTCTGCAGAGCGCCTATCTATCAAATGAGTCGAAAATAGGTTAATAGGTTCATTCTCCATCAACCGCCACAGTATAACCTACCATGCTTTTTGGAGTTTAGAAGCATTATTTTTTTTTTGAGGGTCCTCACCATTATTTGTTAAACTCGCTCCACTGGTTTGTCGCAATTGAACAATATGCCAGGGAGTCCCTTAGCGATAAAAATACACGTGAATCGCCAGCATTACCCGGAGATTTATTTTTTGTATTAGCATTATTTGGCATTAGCTCTTTCTTCCATACCAGATAGCACATTTATAGAAACTGAGTTGTGAAGGAGACTGACCTTAAAAACCGTTTTTTCAGGAAATTTTATTGGCCTTTAGCTTCTAAATGATGGCAATTTTTCTATGTTAGGAGTGCAAACTATGGCTTGACAAGCAGCTATGCCCAGAACGATAGGTGAATAGTCACCATCATAATCTTCTCAAAGAATTCTTTCCACCGAAAGGTTCTACAACAGGTACCATCATGAATCATTTTAATTTCCTTCATTATTTGTTTTATAGGAAGATGGAATAATTTTTTACTATTTTCTACTTGTTTGTGCAGTTTCTCTATATATTCAGAACCACATCATCGTTTCTATCCACTGAAATTGTTGTTAAAGGCGCCCGATAACCAGGATTACCAGAAATGTACGATCTGGCAGTTTTTCGGGCAGAATTTCTGTTTCTGATAAGTAGAATATTTCCGAATGGCACGGCATAGATTTTGCCAAATTTGAGAGGCATTTCAAAATTTGAAAGGCAAGTTGTTTAGCTTGAACCAGTATTCATCAGTCATACCGAAGATTCATTTACATTAAGATTCATTAAGATATTTCCATAAATTGGTTTGAAATATCATTACTGTCCTCAGTTTCGAAAATTTAAGTAGGCGCTTCGCCGGCTTTTTGCGGATTTTTCGCTCGGACCATAATTTGGCCGGCTTCTAACTTTTTTTAGACAACTTTGGTTCGCATTCAAAGTTTCAACCCCGCGATGGAAAACCTAACCCTTCTTACACGATATATAATTGTGGTTAAAGACGAGCAGAATCGATAAATCGATTGGGGCCAAATCAAAGCGTGGCTCCGGCCGCAACTTCTCGATTCTTCTCCTTTTTGTGCACAATTTAATTTGATTTTTATGGGATAGATGAGTGGTAAGCTGAGAGTGGCAATTTTGTTAATTGTTTCGACGTAATTTATTTAGTTGAATTTTTATTTGGGTTTTATTTTGCAATATACTTAAATGTAATCGTTATTAATTTATTATGTTTTAAACGAAGGTTGAATAAAAATGAAATATTCAATTCCGTTTATTTCCATTGCGCAATTTATAGATTTAAAAGAGCCAAGTGATCTATTCATTTCAGGATTGTTGTTTAACAAATGGAATAAAAGTTAAATATTTTTTAAGTTAAAATAATAAATCTCTTCATGATACAGAACAAGTTTCTTCGTTCAGCCCTATTTCCATCGGGTGATTGATAAATCTCTATTGCATTTTAGCGATAGTTTTAATTTAAAATATACGCAGTCAGTTGTTTCACGAAGTTCGTTATCGATTTGCATTGGTTTTTATGGCATTGATAGTTTTCTAAGCCATACCTATGTGGTTGGACTAAATTTTGTTTCAAAATTGGCTGTTAAATGGTATTAAAGAAGCGAAAGATTTCGATTCATGTTTTACATTGCTGGTTCCGATATAAGTAAAAAAACTTTCTTAAATTATTTGATATTTGGTTTGACGATATTGACAATCTTTGCGACAATCTTTGTGTTGCAACACGATTCAGACGCGAGTTAATGTGGAGTAAAACGCTGACTCGCGTATGAATCGTTCATATGGCTTAGAAATTTTCTTTAAATTGCCAGAGTCGAACTAATCTTTACCTGCATATTTAGCTCATTTCGCAAATGGCGAAATCGAAGTCGACTGCTCAGCTGAAATCAGATGAAATTTTATGTATTGCGATCTCGACACTCGGCGCTAACTCAGCTTGCTTACCAAAGTGTTACTGGAGCACAATGAAGCAAATAAAATTTTCTTGCATAGAGGGACTTTTATAAATAAACGCTCTGGCATTATAAGTACAACATCAATCAGTATCAGTACCGTCCTTGGCTGCAGTAACACTTTGGTTCATCATTTCATAAAATTTGAAATAATATCAGTTTTTTTATAAAAATATAAAATTTGTGAACGATATGGGTTCAAACTTTGTTTATTTTGCATAAAAAATATTCTCAATCGAAGAACATTGAAAAAAATTAACATGACGAGATTATTT